TCTTCATCATCACCATCATCAGCAACATCATCATTCTCATGATCGTCATCCTCACCGTCGTCGCCGTCATGACCATGATCATCCAAATGGCGCTCCCGCTTCGGAGCGGTACACATTTGGCCTTCGCCAGTCCTAGCAAATATTTGGGCGCGCGTGGTCGAGGGCTGAATGGTGCGCTAGCCGAGCCGTCGCGCAGGGATTTTCTGAAAGGTTCGCTCCCGCTCTTGCGCGGTCCATGCTTCTCTCCTTTGCAACCCTGGAAGGGCCTCTTGCCCAAGAGGTCCCAAAGCTCTTCGAGGGCTTCCGGGGGGCCCTTTTGGGCCCAGGTGGCTTCCATGCTGTTTCACGCTCCGAGATGCGTCTAGGACGGCCAAGGTAGTCCGCGAGGTACCTCGAGACAAGTTACTCGAGATTGCACGAGCACGGGCCTCAGGTATCCCAAGGCTGTCAAACAACGGACTTCGACTTCAAATACTTTTGTTGGCATTCAGGCTGTTCTCCTTCATATATCTTTGTGGGCGATTCCGCGATCCCCGAGACGGCACATAACGCCCGAAGACAGCCCACAGAGGGACTCACAACGCCTCAGAAAGGCTCGAAGAAGTCCCAAGAGAGGTTCCAGAAGAGCCCCGGAGACAGAGATCCCCAAGACGGCCAAAGAGGGACCGACCCCACAGAGGCGCGAGACGCGCCAAGACGACCCAAGATGTCCAGAGCATCCCCATAGAAAGCAATATTAAAAAATAAAAGATAAACATAAACATCAAAACATAAATGAAATAACAAAGAGAAGCCCAGAGCACCCCCCGACTGGCTTCCCAAAGCCCTGGGGATGCCCCCAAGGGCCCTCCAGACACCTCCAAACGCCCCCATACAGGCCTCGGAAAAAATAGCGAGCACTCATGCCACATTCATCGGTCAACGCCTCCCCCTCCCCCAAATGTTCAAAGTTGACGGTGGGCCTGATGAGTTGCACTTCAACCGCATATTCCTCCGCGCATGCCAACTTGGAATTTCGGAGAGGCGGAGTGTACATTAATTTTTCCCTCTACCGTAGGAAGCCCCAGCGTAGCGACATTCAGAAAAAAGGGCCGAGAGAATCCTGCACCTCAAACCAGCCCAGTTCAGATTCAAGATCCACCCACACTATGCCTGGACAGTTCTAGGGTTCCCTGTGACGGCCCCCCGCCCCCCTGCGACCTAATGGAGCCCCACGAGTCCGTGGGACTTGGCTCATCGCCGTCATTCATTCCAACTCAGGAGAAACACGAATTCTTGAGAGGTGGATGGGATGCTGCTCGTGCTTCTCCCCTGCTTGTTACACCTTCTCCTCCTCCTCTTCCTCCTCGTTGTCCTCTCTGCCGTCATGTTGGCGAAAGCAGCTTCGAGCTTGCTGCGAAGGCTGTTCTGACACCGTACTCGTGCGAGCGATCCCTCACTTCGCTTCGGTGGAGTGGTACAGTCGGGGCCCTGAAGAAGGAACCCTTTTGTTTGGGGAGGGGCTCCGCGTTTCTTAAGTGTTTCGCAGCTTGCCTCAGGTTTTCCTTATGTTTTCGATCGGAAATCGAAGTTTAACTTATGGAAAAAAAGGGGCCTCGTTCCTTATTTAGGGTTCCTTGGGTCAACGCTCCGACTGTAATGGCGGTGTCGTCCAGGGTCTCGTGGCCGCTGTCCTGGCCTCCCTATTTGGCGCGGGCCACGGACGGGGGCGCCGCGGGCCAGCGGGGTGCCAGGCGATCGGCACGCCTGGCACTTGGCATCGATCGGACGCGTGCTTTTTTTTTTTTCTCCTTCGGCGAGGACCATGGAGGAGCATCCTTGATGATTAGGCGAAAAAACCACGCACGAAACCAAACAAACACAGGAAATGGACATCCGAGCGATGGCCAGGGCATGGATGGCGCCCTCGGGATCGATGCCCAGCTGATCCAGGTCACCACAGGCGCAGACGAAAGCTCGAGCAGGTCCTTGCTCAGCAGGCGCGCCGCGTTCACGATCGAGCTCGAGGCAGAGCATCCACAGCTGGGGGGCTGTGATCCTCGATCGCCCCCCTGGGAGGCCCATCGGCCCCGACGCGCCCCGTCGAGAGGCCGACGATGCGATGGGTTCCCCCAGGGAGGTAAGGACCACAGCTTTCCCAGTCGTGGCTGGCCGGCCGGATCGGGAAGAAGTTGGGGACCAGCATCTTGTTCCCTGGCTAGCTGTCGAGTGCGAACGGCCTGTTGTCTGATCTGGAGGCAGGGGCACGCCCACATACGAGCTTGGGACAATACGTTCAGCAGTACAACAGTGTCTGGCGGCGCCGCCACGGTGATGGCGTCTCCCGAGAATGGCATTAACCAGGCCTTCGCATTGCTCCCAGTCACCGGAATGGCATGCCTCTGCTCTACTCCTCCATTCCTCCTCTCCATCCGCCTCCTTATCCTGCTCCTTGCCCTCCTGTTCCTCCCTTATTCTGTTAGGTTCGTCTTGCTCCTCTCCTTTCTGCCCCCCTCCCCCCTCCTTCCGTCTCCTTCCTCGTCCAGCCTCCCTTCCTCCCCTCCCAGTTCCGTTCCCTTCCTCCCGTCTCCTTCCTCGTCCTCCTCGTACTCCTCCTCCTCGTCCTCCTCCTCCTCCTCGTCCTCCTCCTCCTCCTCGTCCTCCTCGTCCTCCTCCTCGTCCTCCTCCTCCTCCTTCTCCTCCTCCTCCTCCTCCTCCTCCTCCTCCTCCTCCTCCTCCTCCTCCTCCTCCCCCATTGTTGTTGCCATCCCTCCCCGCGCGCCGCGCAGGCAGCCTCTTGGAGGACTTCCGGCAGATGACCGACGCGGCCAACTCGAGGGCTGCGGCGCTGCCCGGGTCGCAAGGCCGGCCTCTCCGTTTTTGACCCTGTCGGGCCTTCCTGGAGGACGTCTTGGAGGGCTCCTGGGCCGTCTTCGGGGCCATCTTGAGCGTCTTGGAGGCCTTTCGGGCCGTCTTGGGGGGCCTCTGGGGGCCGTCCTGGGCCTCTAGGGCGACCTTCGAGGGCTCTTTGGCCGTCTTCGAGGCTATCTTGAGCGTCTTGGAGGCCTTTCGGGCCGTCTCTGGGGCCTCTGGGGGCCGTCTTGGGCCTCATGGGCGATCTTTGGGGGCTCTTTGGCCGTCTCGGACCGTTGGAAGGCAGAGAAAAAGCAAATGCCACAATCCTTCAACAACTCATGGGAAATCACTGATTTTGGCCTGGGTCGGGGGCGACAAAGAGGGGGGCGATGACTAGGGCGGGTCGGATATCATGGCGTGGGCCATGATATTTCCCAAGATTTCATGGCGCCGCCTCTTCTTATGTCATTACGTCCCTGGCCCCCCCTCTGGGCCGCGCACATGCCGCCGGCTATGATTCGCAACCCCGCCTCTTGGACGCCCCCCTCTTGGCCGCTCCCGAGGGAGAGGGGAGTTGCGTGGCCACGCCTTCCAGGAGGTATGGGCGGGCGAGGTTTGCAAGGGGAGGAGGGGTTCGCGTTGCGGGACGGGGCGGGTTTGCGGCAGGGGAGGAGGGGGTGGGGAGAAGTGAGGGGGGCAGCGGGAGGCAGGTGGAGTGATGGGGGGCTTTGCGACGCTATTTGACGGGCCCGGCTGGAGCTTTGACAGCCCCGAGTTCGTGGAGTGTCGGCTGCGGGATCTCTCGACGAGCTTCAGATTGGGTTTCGTCATTACCCCAACACACTTATTCTATGTTTCGTCACCCCCCCAGGGGCGACGCGCGCACCGAGAAATCTTATAGCATATGCGTCGTGGCGGGCACTTTCTGGCCTCCCCGCTCGGGAAACGATCTATTACAAGATGGTTATACTATATGTTCGGTCCGGACGCGCACCTCCAAGGAGGACCTATAGTACTAGCATGTCTCTGTGCGTCCCACGTCAGGCCAACCCGAGGCCACCAGAGCCGATGCCAAAACGCCTCCCCGAGTGGAGCGCACGTGGTGTCTACTCGAGAGAGGCTCACGCCATGTCCCCAACCCCCGCGAGGAGCAGAGCCGTGATGATTTGTTGAAGGAGGCGGTCGTGGGGATTCGTCGTCGTCGTCGCTGCTTGTCGGCGGTGGGAGAGGGGAGGAAGGAGAAGGACAAGACCCTCTCAGAAGGCGGCGGGGCTTCTCAGAAGCACTCGCGCCTTCAGAGGGGTTTCCTTTGTCCTCGGGGGAGGCTTAGAGAATTCCTCAGAAGACCGAGCTTCCAGGCCTTCTGAGAAGGCCCTCCCCTATCTTTTTCCCCCCCAGGCTCGCCGCCGAGCTTTTGCGGCCTCCTTGGGCCTCTGGGTGGGTAAGGCCGATCTCTCCCAGGAGGGGAGAGCGCATACAAAGTCGACTGCAGCTTGCTATCAGTGCCGGAGGTGGGTGTTGCTGTCCTGCTGCTCCTCATCCCTTCTGCCCTTCCTCCTCCCTCCTCTCCCCCTGCCTCCCACCCTCCTCCGCTGTCTCCTCCTCCTCCTCCTCCTCCTCCTCCTCCTCCTCCTCCTCCTCCTCCTCCTCCTCCTCCTCCTCCTCTCTCTCTCTCTCTCTCTCTCCCCTGCCTCTGCGCCGCCCTGCGTGGCCAAGGGGTGTGAGCACGAGGCAGAGGAGTGGCACACGTGGGGGTGCCCACGGGTCCCCCAAAATCCGGAGGTTCGCAGACCTCCTACACTGACACGTCGAATAGCGAATTGGCCGCTTTGGGTTCGCGAGAGGGCGCCGCGGCCGTCATTTTTACGTGTCCAGGTCCGTCGGTTTCGGCCCTAGGCCCTTTTCACTGAGGGGAGATGTGCTAAAGGGAGGCTTGTCCATCGCCGACAGATGTGGTTCCCCGGCCCGGAACAGGCTCCGAGGCTGGCCCGGGGCGATCAATCCCAACGCCCGGCTCCACCTCCAGCGGCGCTGCCCTGGGGTGCCGCGCGCCCTGGGGGTTGGGGCGTTGCGACAGCCCCGGGTCGCAGAGCCCCCATACTTTGGGGCAGGGCTGGCACCTTGACATCTCAAAGCAGCCAGCAATGGGTGCAGAAAGCCGGCTGGCATCATATACGTATGGGAGCATGGGTAGATGTGCAAACAGACCTGCATATGGCACACACGCACACGTAGATATGTGTACGCATGGGTGTTTACACACGTATATGTATATATATATATATATATACATGTATGTATGTCTATGTATGCGTGTGCTTGCATGCATGCATGTATGTATGTATACATGTGTGTATATGTGTATGTATGCTTGTATGCATGCATGCATGCATGCATGTATGCAGGTAGGTAGGCAGGTGGGTCGGCAGGTGTGCGTGTATGTGTATGTGCACACATATAGATGTAGGAGTCGGCCCTGCGGCTCCAGAGCCCGCCTGGACCGGCTCCGGACCGCCCAAGACGCCCCGCGAGCGCTCCAAGACGCGCCAATAAACGAAGGATTGCAAAAAAACCCTTCGACGAAGGATTGCAAAAAAGCCCTTCGTTTTTTTGCAATCCTTCGTTTTTTTGCAATCCTTCGTTCCAGGAAGAGCCGAGCCGCGAGCCTTCCAAGGTGCCACAAGAGGGCTCCATGGACCCTCCAAGAGGCGGGGGGACGCTTTGTGAGCCCAGGCTTCCTCTGAGGCCGTAGGTCTAGGCCCAATCCGCCTGCGTGGCACCGTTTTAATCTCAAGTTCAAACCATATCTGTGTCACTACTTCGGTGGAGCTGTGGCCGAATCGTGCCACCCAGCGAATGTTAGGGGGAATGAGAAGGAGGAGGGCGGAGGAGGAAGTTTTTCCCAGGTCTTTGCGCAAGACTCGCATCGGAAAGTGGGAGATTGCAGGGTACGGGGCAGATAGGGATGCCGGGGCGTGGTGAGGGCCCCCAGAAGTGCTGCATGTCATACACAGTATACAGTGCAAATAAATACGTATGTTTATGTATCTTTATTCATATATACATATACAGCATTCTAGTACACACGTACAATCTATATACATCTACGCTTTAGCAGATCCATGTATCCATATAGAAATGTAAATGTATATATGCGGGGGTGCCAGGGGCCCGGGTCCCCGGCGGTCCGCCTCAGGGCTTCAAAAGGCCGCCGAGAAACACGCCGCGAGGCCCCGAGAGACACCCGGCCCCGAACTTACGATCCAGGTCAGGTGCGTGCCTACATGGGTGGAGCGGTGGGATGCGAACCTTGGCCCTGGGGCTGTCGGTGGGGCTCCCTGTGGGGTACGATCCGTGTGACGCCGCACGTGAAACTACATCCCTCTGGGGCAAGATCGGTGTGACGGGTGTGCCGAGATGGGGGGAGGGACGCCATGGGAACTTTATCCCTGGACCCAGAGGTGGAGTTCCCAGGGAGGCACGATCCGTGTGAGGTCCGTGCCGAAATTGGCAGGACGACGCTTTGTGAACCTTGCCTTCCTTTGGGGCCGTTGGTCTCGGATGAATCCGCGTAACTGGTACCTTTGTATGTCGGGTTCGTACCATTGGTGAGTCTCTACTTCAGCAGAGCTGTGTCCTTATCTAGAAGTGGGGATGTTTGAAACCTGCGCGCGCTTCGCGCCGCCGTCGCTATCGTGATGCGACGGTGGGCGGGGCCCCCTCCAAGGGACCTCGGTCCTCTATGGTTGCGCCGGGCCCCCCCATGGCCTCCACGGCTCGCCCCAAGACGGCCCCAGATTGCTTCCAGACAGCCCTGGAGGCCGCCAAGATGGTCCAAGAGCGCCCAGACACGGCCCAAGATGGTTTCAGGTCGCCCAGGAGATCTCCAAGGATGCGCCACCACGGCTTCAAGAGGACCCCCCAGAGCGGCCCAGGCGGCCCAGATCGTTGTATCCTTTTTAGGAAATCGTGCATTTTAGCATGCTCGCTTTTTCGGGCTGCACCACGTCCACGTTTGACCATGACTGCCCAAGAAACCCCAAACAGCCCCAAGAGTCCCACAAGAGAGTCCCAAAAGAGCCCCAAGAGAGCTCCAAGAGAGGTCGTCGGGCGTTCTCTTCGAGGGTGAGGTTCCCACTGTGCCCCCAGGATCCTCCTGGAGACCTCCCAGACGCCTCCACGAGGCCTCTGGACGCCCCCGAGGGGCCTCCGAGGGGCCTCCGAGAGGCCCCAATACACCCGAAACGCGCCACGGGATCCTCTCGGAGATCACCTGGGCGTCTTACAAGTCTCTCCGCCACCCTCCCAGGCTTCTCCCGCCCACTGCCTCTCCGCTCTCCATCATAACCTTGCGTCTCTGCATCGCTGTTCGACGCGGTTGTGTCCTCTACTGTACTGTATGGGAGCGGTGCCTGGACGCTCACTGCAGCGCGAGAGCAGGATTTCAACGCAGCAAGGCGAACGATACCGCGTAAAATTGTGGGCGCACGACGACTGGAACACGAGTCACATGTTGATTGGCTTGCGAGGGCTACTCAACGAGCAGAGGAGGCATACTCGAAATCGGGATTGCCCACGCGGCTGTTGTCATAGAGCGAGAGGAAGGCTCATTTATGTCATAAGCTACCGTCGTGCCATGATCACAGATTGGGGCAGGCTGCGCTACGATGGGCCTCTTTCGGGTGCAGGTATATTGGGAGACCGTGAGAAAGATGGATTGGCCAAAGTGTGAAAATGTGAGAATGTGGGAATGTGAGAGCGTGATGCTGCACGAGACTGCCAGGATGCGAGAATGCGCGTGCAAGAGTGCGAGAAAGCCCGCGGCAACCCGCGCAGGGCGCGCCTCTGCGCACGCTGCTCCTGTCCTGTCCTGTCTTGTCTCTGCATCGCGCGCGCGCGCACGGCTGGGAGCAGCTTTGTCGCCCTCGGGGGCCCTTCTCGTCGCCGCGATTGGGAGCGGCCTCAAAAAGCTAACGCGTTTGGACCCTGGACGGCGTTTGGCCAATCATTGGGAGTGGAGTTTTGCAAGGCCCGGCGGGTCCATCGAGAATGGAGGGCGTTCCTCTTCGCATTCGATCTCTGGGGTCCGATCTCGCGACCCAAGATCTTATAACGTGAGCTATGACCGAGAAGCGCGAAAAACTTCGACTGTCGAAGATCGACATCCCATGCTTCCTGGCCCTCGAGGGGTCCGTTCGCCGCCGCAGCTGAGCGCGACTCGAGGAACTGGCGCGCCTGAGCGGTCCGGGGAAACATTTTGGAGGACCTTGGCTGTCCGCCCCGCCTCGACAACCGCCCTCTCCGCATCTCTTCGTCCTCATGGGGGGGTATTCGACTAAGGGATCAACCACATATTCGGTTTGCGCCATACTTGTTTTTCCTGTCGAATCGACGGACAAATATTCAGAAATCCTGTTCGATCAGCGAAAATGTTGCGCATTCCTTGTGGAAACGATGGGGGAAACCAGATTTTGGGGTCAATCAGTTCTGTATTTGGTTCCCCATTCGAAGCATGAGGGAGGGGACGAGAAGACGGCGGAGAAGGGAGGACGGACGGGGCACGAGGGGATGGCGGAAATAACGCGGCAAGGAAAGAAACAAAACATGAGGGAGTTGGCAACACAAAGGTGAGGGGAAGCACGGATGAGGACAGCGAGCACGAGGAGCAGGACAAATAGGAAGAGGAATATGAGGAAAACGGGAAGGGGGAAAGAGGGAACGAGGAGGAGGAGGAACAGAGGAGGCAATCGTAAACTAGGCTGCTGGTGTGCCGATTGGCGAGGCGGGGGTGCTGGCATGTCCCGGTTGCCCGTTTTGGGTTCACATATGCGTTACGTAGAATATGAGGGTGCGCGCTCTGTCCCGATTCTTGCCTCAATATTCGACGTCCAGGTGGTTTGTGGCCTCGTACAGCTTCAGAACGGTTTCGGATAGCCACGGGACGGCTTCGGATAGCCACGGAGCGGCGTCGGCTAGCCTCGGATGTGGCTCGGATGGCTCCGTTATGGGGGCCAGGTGAGGCCCCCCAGTGGCTTCAACAAAAGATTGTGGAACTGCCCAGTGGCATCTTGGATAGTCAGTGCAGCGATGCTGTGGCCATTGTTCGACTTCGCCGCGCAGTGCCGGAGCGGCGCCGCCCCGTCCCCCTTGCCGAGGCTGGCGGCGCAGCGTGAGGTTCCTGGTGAAGCTTCTGGTGGGAGGCACCAACATGGCGCTGAAGGCTCGCTCTGCTGTCGTCTCGCCATGCACGTGTCCTGGAGGACGGAGGTCTTGGAGATGGTCTTCTGTTCTTGGACCCCCGAGGCCCTCCCCAGGTTCAGGGGCAACGTTTGGAGGACCTGTTCAAGGGGGCGTGCATCGACCCCACTCGTCGCCGACGGGGTCCCGATCGCCCACCAAACCCAGGACCGCTCGCATTCGTTGTCGGGGGTTCGTCGCCTACCTATCGGTGATATGATATCGCCGACGCCAAGTCAATGCTTCGCCCGCTTAAGCCAGTCCCCCTCGATCGTTGCCTCACAGTCCCACCATGTAGTGTACGCGTCCTGGAGGAAGGGTGTCTTGGAGTTTGTGTCGCTGCATTCGGATGCCCAGGGCCCTCCCCAGGGGCCGCGCCAAAATGGCACAGGATGGAAATGGTGGCGCAAAGACAGCCCAGGAACCATTTCCGATGCGTAGGACCTTTCCTTCTTCAAGCCAATCGTCGCGCCGATTTCTCTTCCGCCGCCGTTTCCTTCCCTCGTTTCTTCTCCCCCAGCGGGAGGGAGATCCTGTAGTTGGCGCAGGCACTCCATACCCTTCAGTTGGCGCAGGCACCCCGCGAGTGGCTCGGGCCAGGGGCTCCTCGGGTGCGGTTTTGCGTGCGACCCAGGAGGAGGAAGAGGAGGAGGAGGAGGAGGAGGAGGTGGAGGAGGAGGAGGAGGAGGAGGAGGAGGAGGAGGCGGAGGAGGCGGGGGAGGCGGGGAAAGAGGAGGAGGAGGAGGAAGAGGAGGGGGAGGAGGAGGAGGAGGAGGAGGAGGAGGAGGAGGAGGAGGAGGAGGAGGAGGAGGAGGCCCTCCTCTTGATCTCTCCCTTGCCTCGTCATCTTCCCGTTTGGCATCACGTCCCGTGCTTCGTGCGTGCCTCTCGTTGCTCCCTCTGCTCCCCTGCTTTTCCCGGGGTCCCCGGAGAGCACAGCGGGAGCGCCTGCGGGGCGGGACGCGGGCGGGGCCAGGACGAGGATCAGTCCGTTCCAGAGCTCTTCAGCACTCTCCCAGAGCGCTCCCGAATGCTCCGAGGAGAAGGCCGCGGCGCCCGAGGCCTGCTCCAGAGCCGCCGGACGTCAGAGAGTCTGTCCTCCAGATCTTCCAGGCTCTCCAGAGATTCTGTCCTCCAGATTTCAGGAGGGGAAAAAGCACACAGACACAATGAATCGTCGATTCCCCAGAAAATGTTGGAAACTATGGGAAGTGAGGGGGGAGACAAACACCCAGAAAATATAGGAAAATATCGGGAATCTTTTATTTGTGTGTATTTATTTGTGTGTCCCAGGGCCCCTTCAAGATTCCATCCTCCAGATCCTCCAGACCCGCCGACGCATCGTCGCCCGAGTCCTCGTCCTGGCTCTTCGCCTCGGGGAGGCCTGCACTTGAGACGCTCGCGGGGCATGCGCAGACTCTGGCGACTCTTGGCGTAAGGGCGCCTCAGACGGGAGCTCGGCATCGCTCGGGCGCGTTCCTGTTTTTCTCTGCGAGGACCATTGGCGAGCATCTGAGGCCATACTGCGAGACATACAGTGAGCGGCTTGAATAAGGAACACCTACTTTTCAAAAGGGGCTCGGTCGTGCCTTCGGTTCGCATGCGTTCCGCTACCGTTCTGGCGGCGAGCCTCCCTGGTGTTCCTTAGAGAAAAGGGGCTGCGTTCCTGATTTATCGTTCCTTAGGTCAGGCCGAATCCTGTACACGCGTGAAGCAAAAACATGCACGTGGAATGGACGTCTGAGCGATGGCGAGGGAAGGCACACTGAAATGCCACGCGGCTTCTGGTTCAGAGGCTGCTCTCTGTGTGTGCTCTGAAGCGGGCCGTCCTTTCTCGCAGCCTCTTCCCCGCTCCTCCGCCTCCCCTCCTGGCTCTCCACTGCCACCTCCTCCCCCTTCCTCTCGCTCTCCCCTTGCCCGCTACCCCTGTCCATCCCTGATGGCATTCGTGTTTCTACCACTTGCAAGCGTTCCTCTGTGCTTCTGCTTTGCCGCAAGATCAGCGCATTGGCCATCTACTGGGACGCCCAGGACGCGGCACGCAGAACAATCTAATCATGCTGCGGCCGAGGTGGGGGGAGCTGTTCGAGGCACGAGCGGATCGTCAGTCGCAGTTTTTTGGCGCAGCCGGCTGTGATTCATCCTACCTGTTCCAATTCATGAGTGTTTGGGTTTTCATTTAGTGTGATGAACTTGGCGTGGCCCCAATTGAAATGTTCATTTACTTACAGACAAGCTTTGGACATGCTACGAATCTGATTTGAGACTTTCTGATGCTTCGAATTTTCTACAGCGAAGCGTAGCTTGGAAGCGTATGTGCTGCGTTGCTTTGCGTGTCATTTCGTTGCAGTTTATGCCGCTCTATTCTAGACGCTGTGCGTAGCCCCACCAGCCCGGGACGTGGAAGGAGGAGGAACAGGCGGATGAGGAAGAGGAGGGGGAGAAGAAGGATGAGGAGGAGGATGGCGAGTAGAAAAGCCAGAGACCTATTGAATGCCTCTCGGTGTCTCTTCGGATGCATTTCGAGAGTTTCTGGGAGTCCTCTTGGGGCGTCTTGAGGGTCTATTGGCATTCCCAGGGGCCTCTTGCGGCGTCTTGGGTGGAGCCTCTTGGGGTATCTTTGGAGCCTCTTGGGGACATCTTGGGGGCATCGTGGTGGCCTCTTGGGCCTCCTGGGCTCCTCTTGAGGCCGTCTTGGGGCACCCTTGGGAGCCTCGGCGGCCACCTTGGGGCTATCTTGGAGAGATCGATCAAAGGAGGGGGGCTCCCTACTTGGGGTTCCTCCCCCCAAAACCTTAGTACAATCGATGATTTGGGCGTTCTCGCCGAGGCCTCTTGGGGCGTCTTGGGTGCCTCTGGGGGGCCTCTTTGGGCCTCTTGGGGTTTCTTGGGGGCATATTGGGGGCCTCTCGAGGGCCTTTGGGGCCTCCTAGGCACCTCTCGGGGCACCCTTGGGGGCCTCGGGGGCAATCTGGGGGCCATCTTGGAGGAGAGCGATCAAACTTAATGAATACCCCCCTAGGATGTTAGAATGTGGCCAAACCCTGGGTGAAATTACTGATTTTGGCCATCTCGCCGAGGCCTCTTGGGGCGTCTTGGGTACTTCTCTGGGCGGCCTCTTAGAGCGTTGGAGGTTTCTTGGGAGCCTATTCGGGGCAGATTGGGGGTCTTTGGGGGCCTCCCGGGCACCTCTTGGAGCCACCTGGTGGGGCATCTTTGGGAGCCTTGGGGGCCATCTTTGGGCCATCTTGAAGGATATCGATCAAAGGAGGGGCGCTCCCCAATTAGGGTCCCCCTCAGGAGGCCAAAGTGTGGCTAAAGCCTTAGTGACTGCGTGCTTTTGGCTTCTTCGCCAAGCCGTCGTAGACGCTCCAACCCCTCGCGACCCCCCCTCCAAGTCCAGGGGGAGGGGGGAGGGGAAGGGGTCAAGCTACCCTCCTAGACAGCAGGCCGTCTAGCTCACTCCGAACCCGCCCTCCCAACACATAAGTGACATCCGAATGCCACCAGAATCGCTCAGAAACGCCACACATGCCATGCGCGCCACGGGTTTCAGGTGCACCAGGCACCCTGGAGGCCCAGGCGTGCCAGGTGCAGCACGTGCTCCGCTTGCGCCAACTGTGCCACATGTTCCAGCCGCGTCAGGTGCGCCAGCTACGGGGGACCTACAGGGACCACAGGTGCCTGGGGCCCTGGCTACAAGAAGCTCAGGATCTTGAACCCCCCCCTGAAGCGAAGTGCCGAGCATTCTGTGTGTGTGTGAGAGAGGGCGGCTCTTCCAGGGAGCGCAGAGCACTGGCACCGATGGACAAATTGTGACATCGTGAGGAGTCGCGAGACAGATATGAGAGCTCAGAGAACAAGAGGACCCTGCGCATGCTCCAGATTTGAAGCCACAGTGTTTGTCTTTGATGTTTGTTGACAGAGATGGTTGGCCGGCGCGCAGCAAGCACTGTGCCGTCACACCCGCCGTCCTTGCCAAAACACAATGCAAAGTGGTTGCGGGGCGCCCGCGCATGGGCCAGATTTGAAGGCAGAGTGCATTTTGTGTCTGTGTGTATTTTGCAGAAGATGGTGGGGGTGGGTGGGCTCATTGGTCCGGGTTTGCTGCTGGTCGCCTGGGGGGAATGTTTGTATCAACAGGGCACAGTGATAACCCCTCCCCGAAAGGGAAAGAGGCGTTTGGAGAAGACACTCCCGAAACCACTCACGCTCTGAAGGGTCGCTGGGATTATTTTCAATGATGATTGATCTTATCATATTGTTGATTTGTGTCCCTTGGTTTGACTTCGGCTTGCGTTGCTCTGTTCCGCTTCGATCTGATTGATTATGATTGCTTTACCGCCCAGGTTTCTATGTGCTGTGGGCCAACATGCTTGTTTGTGTATCGGTTCGGCTCGATGTGATCTGCTCTACATGGCCTGGTTTTCCTCTGCATTGGTTGATGTTTTCCTGTCCAATGTTGCTCAAGGCGGTTCCGTTGGCTCAAGCTTGTTGGACGATGTATATATATATATATATGTGTGTGTGTGTGTGTATGTATTGCCACTGCCCAGTGACTCTGGCAACACACTTGGGTCAACATTGTGAAAATGCTGGCGAAAAAAACACCAGATGGGGACTCCGGTGAAAAGTGCGCTAAAGCAGGCCAGGGCAGGGAGCAGCCAGTCGTAGGAGCCACAGCCTATGGCTGCAAAATCTGGGGCACTCGTCCATAGCCCAGGCGCGGCTGCCGGCAGCGCAGATGATGTTACGATTACAGAACAAGCATTATTTCAACGCCCGCTTGCCGAAGCAGCAGGTCAACCTTTAACCGCTGAAAAATTGCAGTGGATCTTCGCCACCTAACTGGCACCTATCAAACAGGACATCGCAGCCATCAAGCAGTACGGCGTATCCCAGGACGACCTGGATGGGAAAATCGCACCGCTCCATGCTGCCGTCGACGACCTCACAGGGCGCGTGGCGGCATGGGAAACGACAAATCCTACATCCACACCTTCATCAGTGGCATCCGAAACATCACCTAGTATGGCGTGAACGTTCGGTACAACATCAGGAACTGGAATGTGAAGTTGTTCTTTCACGGTCAGTCGGAAAATCCACAAGTGGACAATATGTCACGACGAATTCCCGTAATTGGACGCCTACCGCATGACACCATCTACGAAACCGAACGTTGGATAGCAGAAGTGCTCACATAACCTGAATGCGAATTGCCTATGAAGTTTACAAGAATGTTCCCACATTAGAACATTTCGAAGGCAATATTTTTGCAGAGTTCAAATCCGAAGAGTTACCATAACCAAAAATCGATCCTTCAATCAGCATGCGACACGCTGACGCCTAAGAAAACTGAACCGCCGCAAGTGGTGTAACACAGACGCCCCCATCGAGCAAAGAGCTGTTACATTGCTATTGCTGGGCCTCCGTTGCCTTCCGACGCAGTGTGGGTTCGAGAAGATATTCTTGAAGGTCGATGGGGGCGAAGGGGTACTTAGAGCTGGGGCGAGATCGCGAAACCCATATTGAGCGCATCAGTGGCAACCAGCTAACTGAGTATGGACTGGTTGGATACAGCGTGGGGGACATGGGAAACATTTCGGACAGATCCTGCATTTCAAGAACTGCAAGTAAGACTACGAAGAGATCGGAAAAGAGCGGGGTTCGCTCGTCCAAAAGGGTGGGCACATCTAAGCTAAATCATTGACGGTGCCCGGGGCCGATGACCCTGGACGCCGAGCCAGCAGAACCGATTGATTCCAGCAAGGGCAGAGCGGGCAAAGGTACCAGCTACCCTTCTGGACTCACCGTGCGACGTCACTGCGAAGGCCATCTCGATCTACGCTGCGCCACTTGGAGCGTCTGTGGCTCGACCGAAAAGACAATGGTGGCAATTATACGCTACATGGAATAATATGGGATTGGTATTCTACGCGTGATGGAAACACGGGCCATAAAAGCAGAGGAGGACGAAGACGAGAGCAATGCACACACACACACACACATATATATATATACACAAGTGGCACGTATGTGCCCAGGCTCATACAACAAGCTGAAGGGGCGTTTGAAGCAGGAGTGACATGCAACAGCGAAGTCGCACTCGAGCGCAAGTGGGGTTGCAACGCCTTGCGATGTGTGTACCAGGGCCCCCCAGGAAGCCTCAGGAGGCCCGACTTGGATACCAGAAGAGGCTCCAGGAGGCCCCAGGATTGTGAGTGTTGTGTGTGTGATGTGTGCTTTGTGTGGTGCGTGCTGTTTGTGTGTTGTCGGTGTTGTGTGTGTATGTTATGTTTGTCTAGCGTGTGATGTGTTGGGCGTGATTTGTGTCTCTGTGTGTGCATGTAGTTCTGAAGCCCCAGGAGGCCCCAGGAGGCCCCAGGCGGCCTCAGCAGGCCCAGGAGAACTCCAGGAGGCTCCGAGGCGGGGTCTGGGGTACCAGAAGGTCCAGAAAGCCCCAGGAGGCCCCAGGAGGTTCCAGGAGGCCCCCAGGAGGCTCCGAGGAGGGGTCTTGGCCCCGATTTTGGGAGGATGTCTCAGGCGAAACCGCCATTCTCTGAGAATCGGAGTCAAAATTATTGAAATTACCATGTGTAATTAATCGCCTCTGAGCTCTACTCCCTCGGAGAGGTGCGTATGAGAATATATATATATATATATATATATATATATATATATATATATATCGAATATAAATGAATACCGCCTCCCCCGGCCCTGGGTCCCACACCTCCCCGCCACATCTCAGGGACGCTCGCGGTTACCGCTCCCCCGGCCTTTCCGGGGAGCCTCCACAGCGCCCCGGGAGGGCCCAAGACGCCTCCCAGGAGCCCCCAGAATGCGAAAGGATGTTCCAAAACGCTCCCAAGCAGCCCAAGTCAGCCTTCCGACGGCTCTCGAGGCTCCCAGGTGGCCTCCAAGAGACCCCAAGAGAGGTCCGAGAGGCGTCCCAGGACGCCCGAAGAGGCCCAAATCGCTGATTTTCATGTTTTTTTTCTATGTTTTTGGTTTCTCGCGTTTTCGAGCTT